TCAAGAGTGAAAGCAATTCTTAAGACCTTCATCTTTTTCACCGAGCCAGATTGGTATTTTTTTAAGGGACAGATGCAGGACACCCAAATTTCAAGCACAACGTCAAAGAAGTCCTTTCTGCTCATTTCATTTTGTAGAAGAAGAGAAGAATAAAACTTCTCATATCTCCCTGGACTGCACAAGCATGAATGCTGTTAGTTGTCACTCACACAAGCAACGCAGGAGCGTGAGGAGGGTCAACTGGAGGATCAGCTCATTACTGTGATTTAAGAATAGAGGGGACAAATGCAGTTCTCATCATAAATATTTTCTTTCTTGTTCTGCACTGAAAAAGGAAAGACAATTAGTGCTGTGCTTCAAAGTCACAATTGCAATCCCAATCATATTGTTCATGTTGGGTTTAATATGAACAAAGTCTAATTGCATATACAGCTTTGTATATCTTCAGCATCAGTGGAGCTACCCTGGTGGGAGATCAGAATTAGGTACAGTATTTCCTCCCTGCCAGTAACAGGTTTTGAATGGAAAGCCTGGAATGTAAAAAAAGAAATAATGCTAAAAATCCAATCACTCTGACATCCTGTGAGCTAATAAGAGCACGTGAATGCAACAAGCTTAGTACTTCACAGTAATTAATTTGACAGCAAAGAGCTAACAAGAAAACAACAGGCAGAGCAGTGATGACTGGTTCATAGAGGTCACTGTCAAACAAGAAATAGGCGCAAACACAGTCCCTCTCCCTTTGGAAACAACTATTTCATTGCCCCAATGAGAATGAAATGCCAAAGAGGGAAAATATCATGAGTTTCCTGGGGATATCAAATCAGAGAGGGTATTTCTAATAGTAAAATAAGGTAGAGGTTTTCTTTTTTACATATGGTGATTTTTAATCATCCCTGTTACTCACTGCAGTGGCATGTTTTGGCTTTTGCTTTCCCGCCCCCCCCTCCCCCTTTCTCAGTTAGCCAAAGCCATTTTGCATATTCAAATATTGGGAAGACTTATCTTCTCTCACAATTACTAGCAAACTAATACACTAATAACCTTTATTGTTATTTAAAGTGTGTCCAACACAGTGTTCTGGAGGCAGTTCTCACACAATGGACTCTCTCTGGCTTCCTCCTAGAGAAGAACTTAATCAAACCTCACATGCTTTCAGGCAGAAGAGCCTTCAGGGAGAGCAAACAGGGTTAACAGAAAGAAATGTGCCATCTGATTTCTGATCTTGCTCAGGGAGCATGGCCTATTGATTGAGCCATAAAGCTCTGTTAATTTTAAGATATCCTCAGCTTTTAGTTCTTTCCCTTGGGCATAAACTTGTTGCTTACACGTAGTGGCTGAACTATCAGAGAAAGGGTAGCTTCATCCTCCCCCTCTCCACTCTCCTCCCTCCTCCCCTCTATTCTATTTGTTCTGAGCTCATCTGCGTGAGGATACATTTTCACACACACCTTCTCAAACCGGCTGCTATTCATCTGATTCAGGGTCATGCTTTTCCATACATTAAATGCAAGGGAAAACTGGGAAGGAAATGGCTGGGATTTGTGCTTGACAGGCAAGCACACGATTAGCCAGGGAGCCCTGCTGTGAGAAAGTACTGCGTCGGAGGGTATTTTCTGTGGAATCATCAAGTCTCATGACTGGAATCTGATGTTTATAAAAAGCTACTAGTATAATGAAAACAGTATACACTGAGATCCTCAGCCAGTGGGAATCGGCTTGTTTCCGAAAGATCAAACTGCTGCAGAATCACAGACTGGGTAAGGTTGGAAAGGACAACCCATGGGCTCATCTGATCCCACCTCCCTGCTCAAGCAGGGTTTTCCTAGCTATAATTCTCTCTCTATAACCTAGATATTTGCTTGTGCACATTTTTATGGTGGATGCAGAAGTCACACTTTTGGAGAGGCCAGTTAGTGCGGCCCTGCACCTTCCTGAGTTGGTGGAAGCTCTGGAAACTGAGCAGTGATGGCACAAGGCAGCTCCCTCATTCTGTGTTTCCAAGATGCCCTCAGTGGGACCACAAACAATTTACATTAGCAAAGGATCTAGCCCCTCATCTATTGCTAAAGCACCTTTTATGCTCTTAAACCATTAATAATATCTATTAGGTAACCCTACTAATCCCTTTGAGGAAGGATTTTCTTTACTGTACTGGGGGGTGAACTGAATAAAAGCTTCACATATAAGAGGCCTGGTTTGCACTAGAAATCCTTCTCCTTTGATAACCAGCAAATACAAGTTTTACTAGCACAAGCATCTTTTTCTGCAAGCGTTTCCCAAATAAAATAGGCTATACTGGCAAAAGCACTTTTTTTTTTTTTTTTTTTTGCTCATATAGCTGCATCTATATGGGGGATTTTTGCACGTAGTGAAACGCAATCTGTTTTAAATGGCACTTCAGAAGAGCATTGCTATCCCACAGAAGTTTCAAGGCTAGACCTTGAAGTGTATACTTCTGCCTCATATCTGAAAGAGCTTTTTACAAGGTGGCCATTGTCATATTGCAGGAAATATAGAGAAACTGAGACACAGTTACCCGGGCAGGCTGGGAACATTGTGCTCTATCTGGAATTTGTATTCATTACATTCTTTAGCTTCAGATGAAATTTTGTATCTGTAATCAGACTCATTCCTCACTACACAAAATTACTTCTTAAATGACTGTGACAAAAACAGTAGCTGTTTCAAAAGCACCGTAATTCCGTAGACGGGAAAGTCCTATTGAAAATCAAATAGGTAAATGCCATTCTAAATGACCTAGATGTTTTCTGAACTGGCAGAGGTAGACCTAACTAAGAGGTTACTCTGGCTCCTTTGCTCCTGCCCATGCTTCTTTAACTGAAACTGTCCGTTAACAGAGATTTGCTGTCTCTAAAAGAAAGGGCCCTACTCTGAAGAGCGCTTGGAAAAAGGGGGTTTATCAGGCAGAAACAAAGGACCTGACCAAACTGGGAACTCCTCATGTAAAGCAGCTACAACAAGAATCTGGAAGATGAGTCGCAGAAAAGTAAAATAGAGCCCTCTACAAGTTTTGAAGAGCACCTATTGAATGCCAGCTCTCAGCACAAGTGTCAGACAGGATGGGGGCACGGGGAAGACAGCAGGACAGGGTTGCAGGGATATACTCACAGCCTCAGCCTCCTGCTCGCACTGCACCTGCTTCAACACAGCTGTTGTCCCGCTCTCTTCAGCTCAGCTACCTTGTGTTGTTTCATGGGCAACATGTTGGCCAGTTGATCTTCTTCAGTGACCCCTCCATGCTCTGGGAAGGTTTGCAGCCAAGCTCCCAGGCTCGCTGTGGGGAATGAAGCGCAGGTGAATCTCGCACCTGACGCAATGAGTCAGGTACCTCGCCTCAGGCAGGTCTCCACACAAAGCAGCGTGCCCTTTGGCAAAGGGGATGAGTTCAGTGATCTGCTTCAACTTCCAAAGCAAAGGGACCAAACACCATCAGGTGGATACCCCATGTAATATTCAAAAGCTATCCACTGCTTGTTGACGGCCCAGAAGTGTTCTTGTTTTCCTCGCCCAGTCTGTCCTCTGCAGTCCAAAGCTGTAGCGTTATAACCAGGCAGTGACTTCCTCTGAAGTTGCTCGTATT